ATCGTTAGTTGTATACGTTTAGGGTCTGTCTTCCCATGACCCAGGAGGTTGGGACGTCACCTGTCTGGGGTCCTGTGACTCCAGTGAAGGGAGTGCTCAGGAAATACCTGTTGATGAATGCGTGACGTGAATCCTACTTAACACTCCTAGAAACGATCACTGAAACTCAAGTTGAAACCACTGATCCAATAGGCTGCATGGATACAAGAGAGAATTAGTGGGCTGGAATGCTGACTATAGAAATTTTACCATGATGAAGCACAAAAGGATGAAAGTTGGAAATTTTGAAAAAAAAAGAGTTAATTAACATAAAAGATAAATATATTCATATAAAGAAATAGTAGGGTTTTTGTTTTTGCTTTTTACTGTGGTAAAACACTTACCTAACAAAATTTACTTCTTTAATCACTTTTAAGTGTACAATTCAGGGACATTAATCACCCTTTCATGTGCTTAGTGACTATTTGCATATTTGCTTTGGAAAAATGTCTGTTAAAGTCCTTTGCCCATTATTTACCTGGGTTGTTTTGGTTTTTGTTACTGAGTTGCACTTCTTCGTGTATTCTGGATATTAAGCTCTCATCAGATACACAGTTTGCAAATATTACGGAATTAGGGTGTGGAGAGGGAAAAGTGGGGTCACCCAAGTAGTCAGGTGTCTCCAGGGCTTCCTGAGACACCCTAACCCTAACCCGTGGGGACAGCCTAATTCCTGCTTGTGTGGCTCATCGCTGTGTGATGCAGCTGGAGGTATGATTATTCGGGATGCATGACTTTTGAAACGGATGCTTCCACAATCTGAGACTGCATATTAGGCACTCGTATTGTACTATGTACATCCTATATTGTATATATAGGTATATAATGTTGGCTATGTTATATATTATAAAATATTCTATATAGTATTATACAATAACTCTATAATATTATGCAATGTTAGTTGAGTGGTTGAATCAGGAAGAGAGGGAGGTTGTCGTGTAATTAAGGATCCCAAGATTATATCATTCTGGACTATCTTCAGGGGCCCTAAATCTGATGACAAGTGTCCTTATAGGAAACACAGAGGAGAGACACATAGAGAAAGAGGAGAAGACCCTGTGAAGGTGGAGGCTGAGACGTGAGCAATGGAGCCACAAGCCAAGGGACCCATGGAGCCACCAGAAATAGAAGGGGGAGCAGGGGAAGTCTCTCTCCTGGAGTCTTCAGAGGGAAGGCAGCCCTGCGGACCTCTGGATTTTGAACTTCTGACTTGAAGAACTCCAAGAGAATAAATTCTCTTGTTTTAAGCTACCCAGTGTACAATAATTTGTTGTGGCCACCCTAGGAAAAGCCTGCAGATTATGTTCCTGGGAAGCCGAGTACTGCCGTACCAAATGCCTCGCACTGTGGAAGTAGCTTTGGAATTAGGTGATTGGGTGGAAGTTGGGAGAATTTTGAGCTTCGCGGGAGATAAAGCCTGGACTTCCTGAAGAGACTATCAGTAAAATATGGACTTTAAAGGCAGCCTGGTGAGGGCTCAGAAGGAAGTCAAGAGCACTGGAGAGGCGGTTGTCCTCTCAGAACGCACAGCGCATTGCGAACAGCATGTCATTCAGCATGGATGTGACAGACGTGTGTGGAGGGCTCGGAAGGAGATGAGGAATGTGTTACTGGGGATTGGAGCGAAGAAGATGATTGCACTGTGCCGGCAAAGCACTTGGCTGAACCGTGTCCTGCAGTCCTGGGGAAAGTAGAACCTGCCGGTGATGAACTCGAATAATGAGCTGAGATTTCTAAGCAAAGTGGGGAAGGTACGGGTGGGTCCCTTCCTGCTGATTCTAGTGAAACGGGAGAAGAAAGAGGGAAGTTGAAGCAGGCGGGGTTGAGCAAAAACAAAACCAGCCTCACGACTCGGGAGAATCTTGGCTGATCCACATGGCAAGGGACTCGCACTGTTGAGGGAGGGCCCAGGATGTGGCTGGACAACGATCTGCTGAAGGTCCGAGCAGGGACGGAAGGGGCCACTCGGGGACCGCAGCGGAGCCGGGACAGGACATGGAACCGAGCAGGTAAAGGCTAGTGTGCGTGGCCACGGCTGATGCCGGCTCGGAGGACCGCGCGGGTCCCGCGGAGATGCGCTTCGCCAGCGGATCTGAGTCCAGAGGTGGTCAGGGACAGTGTGACGTGTGACATGAAGTCCAAAAGGTAGGTGCGACAGAGACCGCATGAACAGCCGGAAAGAACGGCAAAAATGTCACCTATGAGACGGGAAACATATGAGACACTCGGCTTGCAGAAAGAGCTCCTGTAAACCCGTAAGAAGATGAAAATCACCAAACGAAAAATGGGCAAAGAATGTAAATAGGTGATTCCTGGAAGTGCTGCACATGCGGAGAGAAGTCGCTAAACGTCACGGACAAGCAGAAGCATCAAGACGAGACGTCAGCGAGGCGTCCTCCAATCGCTGCTAAGCTGGGGAAAGTTCCAGAAGGATGGAGCATACCGGTCGGTGCGCCAGAGCCTGGGGACGCTTCCCGCGGCGGGAAGGGCCGCTCCGCCCCGGGGGCCGCCAGCCGCACTGGCCGGGAGCGCGGTGCGCGGCGGCCGAGGTCAGAGTGAGGGCCGGAGCCCGGCTCGCGGCCGCGGACCGAGGGGCCGCGGGGGACAGACCGGTCCGCGCGTGGTGCGTCCGGGCACCGGCACGCGACGCGCGTGGGACGCGGCGCTCCGAGGCAGGGCCGGCCGGGGATCAGGCCCGCGCAGGAAGGCCCGCGGGGCGACCACCGGCGCGTCCGGCCGCAGACCCCGGCCCGCCGGCTCCACGCGCCGGCCGCGAGCGCCCGCGGAGGCTCCGGAAGCCGCAGGCCGGAGGCTCCGGAAGCCGCAGGCCGGAGGACCCCCCGCCGGCGTCGGAGCAGAGCGCGCACGTGGCGCAGCGGCTTTCCGGGCATTTCTGGGACTTTCAGGAAGTGCCTTCGCGGGTTGCGTCCGTCCCGGAGAAGGGACCAGCAGCCCTGCGGGCGCAGGGCAGGCATTACGGTCAGCCGCCCTCCCGGGAGCCCGGCCCGGGTCCCGCCCCCGCACGGCCGCACAACACCTGCCCCGCCTGTCCCCGCCGCCGGGGAGACCCGAAGCTCGACTCCCACCAACTCTGAGGCCCAGGCCTCCCGCTTCCTCCAGCGCGCAGGCGCCGGGAGGCGGTGCCCCGCCCCCCGCTCGCCAGCCCCGCCCCCCAGACCTTACGTCACCGGGCTGCGCCGCGCGCCGCGTGACGTCGCTGCGACCCGCCTTCCGGAAGGAAGCGCGGGTGGCTGACCATGGCGACCGCCGCGGAGCAGTGGGTTCTGGTGGAGATGGTCCAGGCGCTCTACGAGGTGAGCCCGAGCGGCTCGCGACCGCGCCGGGTCCTGCGGGTCCGACGGGTCCCGGGCGAGGCCGGCTGCGCCGCGTGCCGACCCCGGCGTCCCCGGCTGGACGGGCTCGCGGGGAGACTCGGGCTGGCGCTGGAGCCGAGGGTCGCCGTCGGCGCCGGGAGGGAAACGGGCGGCGGGCGCGGGGCCGAGGCTGCTCTCGGCGCTCCCGAGCGGGGACGGGCAGCGGGTCGGGGCGGCGAAGCTGCGTGGGCGAGCTCTGTCCGGCGGCCGCGGGGAGCGGGGTGCCCGGGGCGCGGAGCGGACGGGGGAACGGAGCCGAGTGCGGAGTTTGTTTGCTGCGGTGGGCGCGAGCGGCCCCGGCGGCCGCGGGACGGGATGAGGAGTCGTCGTCGCCGCTCCCCGTGTGTCCGCTTCTGCCCCGTGAACGCGCCCTCCCCGCGGGCTCCGGGGCGCGGCGCGCTCGCCTACCGAAGGGCCGGCGGCTGCAGGTGCGTCGGGGGCGGCGGAACCGCGGCTGGGAGCGAGCGTTCGCCCCACCGGCGTCCGCCGAGCTCTGCCGCCCGGGCCGGGAGCGCTTCCCGCGCGCGCTGTCCCCGCGGGGTCGGTGCGGCGGCCGCCCGCCAGCCTCGCGGCTGGAGCAGGTGAGGGGCCGGGGACTCGGGACCGTGTTACCAGCCTCCTGCGCGCGGTGGCTATGCGGGGGACCGCGGCGGCGCGGGGGAGGTGCCGGGAACGGGCGGCGGGAACTCCCGGGCCTGAGCGGCGCATCCCGGGTCTCCTCGACGCCGCCGCCTTCCCTGCGGGACCTCTCGGAACCTCCGAAAACCGGCTCACGGAACGGATGTGAGGCGCGCGGTGGCCAGTGCGGTCCGCGTTCCAGTCACGGAGATAAAAGTCCCTGACGTGGGCGTTTGTAAAAAAAAGTTAAAACAAATGAACAATTTCGTGTTCTGTGCTGCTGCTTCGTTTGTGAGGACTGACAGCGGGTCAGGAGCGAGGCGTCCTCTTGGATGGGGCATTTCCAGGAGAAGAAGCCGCATTTGTGATTGTGATTAATGCACTAGACAATCAGTATTTCGGTTTTCTTACGACGATTTCTTTGTAGAGCGAGATGCCTACTGGAGTACAGGTGCCGAGAACAGCAAAAGAATGTTCTTTTCTTAAAGATTTTATTTACTTACTTTGTCAGAGAGAGAGAGAGAGCGAGCGCGAGTGGGGGGAGCATCAGGGAGAAGCAGGCTCCCTGCCGAGCAAGGACCCCCCCCCCCCACCACACACACACACAACCAGATCCCGGGATCCTGGGATCATGACCCCAACCCAAAGGAAGACGCCCGAGTGACTGAGCCACCCAGATGTCCCAAGAAAACCAACAGAATGTTCAGACTGGAGTCCTTACTCTTAAATGAATGGTGTTCAAGGGGAATCCGTATACTTAGAATCTTCTCAGAGATTTCCATTGCTGCGCCAGTTTTGTTACAGCTGGGCACAGAATTGGAGGAGTCCTACACCCAAAACAGAAACACGAGTGTGTGCGTGTAACATACGTGTGTACTTAGAAACAGAATTGTGTGCGGACTTAGGAGGTAACCGATCAGTGTGTCTGCAGTTTTCCCATCTCCACATTCTGGGTTTTTGTTTTTAACTGCGGTGAATCGTCTTCACTTTCTTTTCGTCTGACGTTCGCACAGAACTTGTGTTTACTGTTCTAAATTCCTCTTTTAAACGGCTTTCCCAGACAGCTTACTGGAGTAGGTCTCTGCAGCTGACTGGGCTTTAGTCACCGTCTGGAATCTTCCACACGCACTTGGTGTGTCTAGTTGTACAAAACACAGAAGCCCGCCCAGCCTTCATCCTGGAAACATACAGTGGAAGGAGGACCTGGCGTGGACCGTTTCCGTGAGGTGTCTTCGTGCCGGCTGACGTGGAACACGCTGCGTACTTTGGGGAGCTGCTGTAGGGAAAAAACTGCCATTCCTTTAGGCATTTATAAAGTCTTTTTCTCTCAGCCGTGTTCCAAGAAGGATTTAAAGAGCCTCATCAGGGATACGGAAAATAGAGTAAGATGTGCAAAACGCCGAGAGCTGTGGAAACTGAGTGTCAGAGAACTCTCCGGACTCATCCGTGCTTCACTGGGGTGGAAGAAGGCTCGCGGAGCTGTGACGGGCCGGTTGCTGTCCCTTCCCACCAGTAGAAACGTGCAGTATCCGACCGAGCTGGTCTTTATACCGTTCCACGTGCTGGGCTGCTACATGCGGTTTTATTTTAAGAATTAGATTTCGTTCCTATGGAGGTGTTGAAGCTGTGCTATCAGAAATTTTTCGTGTGAAGGAGAAATTGCTATTAGAAATGGGGAGAGGAATGAGTAGAAATGAAAGGAGTTTTGAAAAGAAATCTTCCTTTTTTTTAAAGGTTTTATTTATTTATTTGACAGAGATCACAAGTAGGTAGAGAGGCAGGCAGAGAGAGAGAGAGAGAGGGAAGCAGGCCCCCCGCTGAGCAGAGAGCCCGACGTGGGGCTCGATTCCAGGACCCTGGGATCATGACCTGACCCGAAGGCAGAGGCTTAACCCACTGAGCCACCCAGGCGCCCTGAAAATAAATCTTAAGAAGCAATAGGTTTAAGGTCATGGAAGCGATATATGAGTGCATCACAATTTATGTGCAGATTTTGTAAGTGTTTATTTCATTTCTTTTTTGGTTTTTGACTCATTCTTAGGCTCCTGCTTACCACCTTATTTTGGAAGGCATTCTAATTCTCTGGATAATCCGACTTCTGTTCTCTAAAACGTACAAATTACAAGAACGATCTGATCTTACAGTCAAGGTAAGAAATTAAATCTTTCATTATTCACTGTGTGATTATAGTTGGTACCTCTTTCCAAAAAGTACTGGTGGTGGCTCACCTACATATGTTAAAATTTTTTCTGTCGTGTAAACAATTGAGGGAAAGGAAATATCAGGGAAGCAGAACGTGGAGAAGCCAGGGGTAAAGTAGCCACCCAGAGGGGCACCCCGCCACAGAAGGCTGCACTGCGTTAGGGAAGCAGCAGTGTTAGGGCAGACGGTAGGAGGGAAGCCTGCGCAGCGACAGGATTTCGATGATCCACGCCCAGGGTAACGTGAGTGGCTCAGGAAGAACACCACTGGTTCTGAAACCCAAATGGTTTTCCCTGGGTTCTTCAAGAAGGAAATTCGGAGTAGGAAAGAATCCTCCCACCTCCCCACCCCAAACCGAATTTCTCTGTGGTAAGGGACCCAGCCCAAGCCCGAGCCAGGCAACCTTAGGAAGCAGAAGTGTCTAGGGGACTGCGGCACTGCCCACGTGGCGTCCAGTTCACCGGAAGGATGAGGGGCTTGTGGAGAAGAAGCTCATCCTCCCCCTTCAGTGGGAGCACCTAGGAAAGTCACCCCAGTGCGGGAGGGAAGAGCAGCTCTGACCGCACCGTGGTTTCCGTCCCTCGGGCCCTTTCCCTCCCCAGCCCCTGCAGCGTTGGGCCGGGATGCTCAGAGAGACCTGCGACTGTGAGAACGGTTTTTCCATGAAAATGTCTGCAACTCCAGTCCACGGGGCAGCGCTGGTGCAGCGTGGAGAGGGGCGGAGTTGAGGCAGCAGCGCGGTGGTCACGTCCCACGCTGCGCTGACTGGCCGCCGCCGTCCTGCTCGTTCGTCTTCGCTGTAGGACAGTCAGGCAGGGCCCCCAGAGGACATGAAGCCTGCGGTTCTTAGGGCAGATATATTTGGGCAGCTGGGCTGAAGCAGAGCAGGGCGTGTCTTATCCGTGATTTCAGTAGCCTTCAGGCCAGTGGGTAGTTGAATCTGTCTGGAGAGATGCCCTCACCTTGACCACAGATCCTGCCCTCCCCCACCGTTTTGTTCCGACTGCCTTGTGGGATTAGCGTGCCGTGGAACACTCTGGATAGCGTTGCAGTAGGATTGGGCCGTCCGGGGCAGAGGTCCCGTCTCCGCTTCTTCCCTCGGTGTTTCAGAACTTGTGAAGGATCAGGTGCTGGATTCTAGCTCAGCTTGGTAAGCGGCTGGTCACTCCCGGTATTTCGAGTTTTTGTTGATGAAGCTGCAGTCCACACATACTACATTTCTTAGACAGTGACTAGACATAACTTCAGAGTCGTTCTCTGAAAGCTGAACTCAGCAAGACTTAGTAATCACGGACATCCTACCCTAAAAGCTCTGGAAGAAAAAAAACTGTTTTTAAAGCTTAACTTCTGGCAACATAGATGCAGTGTCCTTCGGTTTTACGGGTCTGCAGTCCCTTGAATACAGAGGGATCCTGAGAGACTTCTGACATCTGGCCCCGGGTCACAGGTGGACAGTGTGTGTGACGTGACCTCACGGGCTGCTGTTCAGGGACAGATAAGGAACTTACTGGTTGCTTTTAACGGGAGTGTGGGAGCAAAACAGTCACTGTCCGGTGACCAGCACCTGCTGTATTTTGTTTCCTTCTCCCGTAGGAAAAGGAAGAACTGATTGAAGAGTGGCAGCCGGAACCTCTTGTTCCTCCCATCTCGAAAGACCATCCTGCTCTCAACTACAACGTTGTTTCAGGGTAAAGTGCTTTGTTCTCGAAGGATGTGTACTTGCTCCCCTGTAGGTGTGCTCGCCAAAGCCTACAGAGGTTTATGTAGTGTTTCTAGCAGAAACACAGCAGTGAGAAATCTCGGAAGCTCAGAAACTGTTTTAGTGCCCGACGTAAGACTCTGCTAAGGACGTACGGACAGTTCTACGGTCTCTGGTTTGGGCATTGCAGTTTGTGCCTTTCTTCCATTGAAAAAACAAAAACCAAAATTATACATGTTCCTGTAATACTTCAAACAGTGAGACAGACTCGGAATGAAAAGCAGTGCTCCTGCTTTTTCTCAGCTTCATGGCTTCTGATTGTGGATCTGTCGTGGGTTACCTTTAGCCGGATGTGGGCTTAGCGAGGCAGCACGGCCAGCGGCACTTGACTCTGACAGTTCGAGTTCCGCACTGACCTTCCTTGGGCTGCCTCTCTCCCCGCTTGTTCCAAGGTCTGATCTGTCTTTGTGTTTAGTTCTTCTGTGGCTTGTCTTTGCTTTACCGCGGCCTCTTTCTTAAATTAAGAAGTATTTTAAGTTTATAGGAAATATCCGACCCACGTATACGCACCACCCAGGATAAATAGGCATTCACGTTTTGCTGCCTTTATTTCAAATCTGCCTTAAGAAAGAAAGAAAACGTTCCACTTATGGCTAAGAAACGCCTTCCCATCTACCACTTACTCTTATCACCCACAAAGGACCACCATTTCCATGAAGTTGGTGGATGTCTTTCACTTACATTTAAACCTTTTACAAAAAAGATTAATTTATTTTAGGGAAAGAGAGAGCGCGCGCCCAAGAACAGAGAGGGACAGAGGGAGACAGAGAACCCTCAACAGGTTCCACGCTGAGCACACGGCCTGGTGCGGGACTTGAACTCAAGACCCAGCGGTCAGGAGCCAAAATCAAGAGTCGGACACTTGACCCACTGAGCCACCCAGGTGTCCCTCTATTTATACTTTTAACGCATATCCTTGACGCCATGAGATTATTGAGTATTTTGTCTAAAAACGTGATGCAGCATCTTTCTCTGAGCGTGTCCTCCCGCTCCTGCGCTGATGGAAGGGAGGTTTGCATTCTTCACTCCGTGCATTGCTGTGGTCATGCAGAATTTTTAGACGTTCTGCACTCGGACTTACTCATCAGCAGTGCTGTGGTTAAGAAGTCCTTCCCTGCCTCCCGAGGTCGAATGTGCCCGTGTCGGTACGGCGGTCAGCTGTCCCAGCATGCATTGACTTGTCCATCGTTTGCCTACTGAGTAAAAATGTCCCTTTTTCTGTAGAGTGTCTGCCCTTCTAACAGGTCTGTTTCTGGCTCTGTTTCTCCTCTGCCGGCGTGTCTGTCTCTCCTGGTGCCAGAACTTCACATAAATAGCACAGTATAAGAATAGGCCTTGACTAGAGCGAACCCTTCACCTCCTTGTCCTTCCGAACTGCATGGCTCTTTGCAGTTCTGTTCCTCGGTGTGAGCTTGTTTAACTGAGCATGTTGACCAACAAATGAGGTCGGGTCGTGACCGGCAGTGCGCTGATGTGGACTCGTGGGAAAACCCCCGTGTGCCTGGTGTGTCACTCTGGTCTTTGATGTCCTACAGTAAAGCCGTGTAATTTTCTTCATAAAGACTGCTTGTCTTGGGGCCCCTGGGTGGCTCCGTGGGTTAAAGCCTCTGCCCTCGGCTCAGGTCATGATCTCAGGGTCCTGGGGTCGGGCCCCACATCGGGCTCTCTGCTCAGCGGGAAGCCTGCTTCCCCCTCTCTCTCTGCCTGCCTCTCTGCCTGCTTGTGATCTTTCTGTAACATAAATAAATAAAATCTTTAGAAAAAAATGTAGCTACTTTTCAGTGAACGCACTAGTGCTGTTCATTCAGTACTGGGTTAACACAAGAGTAAGTGAATTTACTTAACTTGGAGAGGTTTTTCCTTTCAATAATGGCCGTATTGATCCAATCCACAGATCGTGAAATTCAGTCTTTTAATTCACCACAATTGATTGGGTTTTAGTATGTTCACAGAGTTGTGCAACCATTGCCACTGTCTCATTTCAGGGTTTTTTTTTTTAAGATTTTATTTATTTATTTGACAGAGATCACAAGTAGGCAGAGAGGCAGGCAGAGAGAGAGGGGGAAGCAGGCTCCCCGCCAAGCAGGGATCCCGATGCGGGGCTCGATCCCAGGACCCTGAGACCATGACCTGAGCTGAAGGCAGAGACTTAACCCACTGAGCCACCCAGGCGCCCCCAGAATATTTTTATCACCCCAGAAAGAAATGGCACACCCACGCCCCCCATTCCCCATCTACTTTCCCCCGACACCTACTAACCTACTTTCTCCGTGTGTTTGCCTGTTTTGGACTTTAAAGGATTCGTGCAGTATGTGGCCCTGTGTGTCTGATTTCTTTCATTTAGCGTCACATTTCCAAGGTTTGTGCATGTCCTAGTAGCTTGTGTCAGTTTTGTGTCTGAATAATACAGTATTTCACTCTGAAGGTATCATACTTGGCTCATTCATCAGTTGATGGGCATTAGGGTTGTTTCCACGTTAGTATATGAAAGGAGAGAAATTATATGAGTTCATAAACTCCCATGAGTATTTGTGTACTTTTTTTATTTAATTTCACCTTTTTTTAAGATTTTATTAGAGAAAGAGAGTGCACGCATGAGTGGGGGAAGGGCAGAGGGAGGCAGAGAAGCGACTCCACACTGAGCAGGAAGCCCGACTCCAGGGGCTTCGTCCCAGGACCCTGGGGTCAAGACCTGAGCCAAAGGCAGACACTTAACCGACGGAGCCACCCTGGCGGCCCTGTGTGCACGTTAGTTCTGCGGGCATGCGTTTTTGTTTCTCCTGGATACACACCTGAGAGTGAAATCGTTGAGGTTTGTGGGAACTTACTTTGAGGAGCCACCAGTCTGTCTTCCAGAGTGGCTGGACCATTTCCATTCCCACCAGCAACACATGGGAGTTGGGATCTCTCCCTGTCTTGGCCAACACTGTCTTTCATTGGGACCATCCTGCTGGGTGCGGAGTGGTACCCTCCGTGGCTGGGATTGGCATTTCCTGGTGACCAGTGACGCTGAGACCTTTTCATGCGCTGATCGGCCGCTTACACGTCTGTTCTGGAGAATAACCCACTGACGTCACTTGCCCATTTTCTAATTGGGTTATTTGTCTTTTCATCATGGAGTTACAAGAGCACTTGGTGTATCTTGGATCCCGGTCCCTTATCAAATTACGACATGCAGATGTTCCCCATTCTGTGGGTTTGTCGCTTCTCTGCAGTGTGCGTGGAGGCACAGGTGTTTCTCATTGTGACGAAGTCCAGTTGTCTGTTTTGTTCTTTTGTTGCTTGTGCTTCCGTGTTGGTTTTGCAATCCTTCCCTGACCGAGATCCTGCAGGTGTCCTCCTTTGTTCCAGGAGGGCTCGATGTCCCATGTTTCATCACAGGGATTTGCACTCGGGTCCTGTTTTCTGCACGGCGCCGTGCCACAGCTGTCCGCAGGGCTCACAGTTACACTCGGGCTTTTCCAGGGGCGACGTCTGTGTTTCTGCAGAGTAGGAGGGGATCGGACGAGTGGCTGCTGCTTACCCGATTTCCAGCTGCCCTCGTGCCACTGGGAACTGTTCCCCGGGGTGGGGGGGTCGTTTTCCAGGAGCCGCGGCTGAGCCGCTCACTGCCGGGTCACGTGCTGCTCTCTGGTCTGTGACTTCTCACGGACAGCCTGTCCGTTTGCCAGGAGTCGTCCCTCCCCGCGTCCTGGGCTTGGTAGCATCAGACGGTTAGACCTTGGAGACGTCTTATGTCTCTTATGTCCCTTATGCAGGCGGACGGGTTTTGTTCATTCTGTTCTGTTTGCCAGAGGCCACTGGTAGGTCTTCCTAGTCATAAATAATTCGTGAATTCCTGGAATAAGGCTGTTTGATTGGTTCTTATACGTTGCTGGTTGGTTTTGCTGATGTTTGGGATTCTTGACCTGCATGTTGAAATGTGAGTTTTGTTTCTTCTTTTCCCTTCCCGCTGCTGGTGCGGGTCAGGTATCAGATACAATCGGCCTTGCCGTCCTCCTAGTCACCGTGTGGTCGGCACGCGGACGTGACTCCGTCCCTGGCCCTGCAGTTTCGTGCCCGTGCCGTGGCCTCGCCAGGGCTCCGTGGTCTGGGCCCCGTGGAGGTTAACATGTGCCCTGACCAGAGGGGGGAGGCTCGTTCCGGTCGTCCCTGAAGAAGACAGCGTAGCTAGCTGGTCGGGATCACCGGCCCGCAGAAGGCGCCAGTTAAGATGACCGCCCCGTGACCGTGTCCCCGTGCCCTGTGCTCCCAAAGAGCTGGGCAAGGCTCGCCTGGACCGGGTGCAGAGCGGCTGCCCCACCCGCCCCGGCTCCCCGTCGGTAAGTCACCCGCAGCCCTGTCGCACGTTGGGGCCGCCTTCAGCTTAAAGTCGTGCGGGGGCTGCGCAGCCCGGAGGACGCGTGACTGACCCTCCACTGCCCCCGAACAGGTCTGCGTGGGTCGTGCTGTTGGTTGTCTTGAGCCTGGATTTTTAGTCCCAAACTCCCTGTCTTCAGTGAGTTCCTCAAACTGAGTGAGTTGCGGTTTTTGTCTGTTAGCAGTTGTCCTTCTTCTCACTGTTTCCGAGGGACTTGGCCTGCACAGCTTCTCGGGTTGCCGTGACACACACCTTTAGGTACAGACATGTGTGACGCGCGCGGGCTCGTGTTTTCCCGCAGCCGGTGCTTGCTCGGGTCCCGCTTCTCGCTCAGCTCTGCCCGAGGCGCGTATTCTGACGCAGTGAAGGCTCCGTCTTCGTTTCTCCGCGTGGGGCCGTGCGGACACAGGTGCTGACTCTGTCCTCCGTCCCACTCTGGTCGGTGTTTTACACCTGGTCCCCTTTCGTCCTCCCCCAGCCCCCCACTCGGCCGCCCCCTGAGATACCTCCACTGAACTCCGGTCATCGCTTCATGTCCTATGTGTCTGCATTACTGCAGTGATGCTTTTTGTTCTTATTATGCACGTATTGTTAACCTTAAATATAGTTACTTTTACCAGCAAAAATGGGTTGATTTGGGAATAAAAATGACAATTTGGGACCAGCAAGTTAGGGCTAAAGGTAGGCAAGTCCAACAAACAAGGGAGCGGATGCCGTTATCTGAGGGAGGAGGCTGTTGGCAGGGCTGTTTACTGAAGGTGTGTTGGGGGCAAGCCAGGGTCCAGGGCGGGGAGGGCTTCTGCCTGGCTGAGCTGCAGGCCTGGTGGGTCTCTCTCCCCGGTTAGGGGCCGCAGTTGAAGATCGCTTCCTCTGGGAGGGGCCTGGAATCCCCAGTTCTTCTTGTGACTGGCGTAGAGCCGTGCTGCTACTCCCCAGCCTCCCCTCCCACCTCTCCCCAGCCTCCCCCCAGCACCCCAGGTCTGCTTCCGTGCGGTTTCCCAGTGTTAACTGTCACACTACCTTTGGAAATACATCTTAACGTTTTGTGAACGTATGTTTTGAATTTTGTGCTCCGGACTTCTTTCTGATGCTTGCTTACTCACTCTCACTGCTCTGCACATCTCTGGGTGCCCGCCGTGTCGCAGGAGTGTGCTGGGCACATACATGGATCAGGATCGCAGCTCCTCTGGGGCAGACGAACCAGCAGTGAGACGGACGCTAGCTGGCGTTAGGGGTAACGAAGAGATCTTGTGCGGCCAGACGGGTTGGGGAGGGCGGGATGTGCTTCTCGCTCCCTGCCCCCGCCTGCTGTGTCGGCCTCCGTTGTGACCTTAGCCGCTTTGCTCACGTTGGGTCCCTCAGCTGCCCCCACCCCGCTGCCACACAAGATCTGGCGATGACCGGCCCCTTGTGCAGCTGCGTGAGTGTCTGGGGCCCGCAGTGGGTCCGGACGCACGCCTGCCTCATTCCGTGGGGCTTCCCTACCTGGTGGTGCACGCGTCTCCGCTCCCCTGCGTTGGGATATGGGGACCCAGCTCCCCACAGCCCTGCTGGGCGACATTGTTTTATTTTGTACTTTTCTGAGTATTTGGGCCTTTGCGTATCATGTCATCTGCTTCAGAGCTGCCGGGGTTTTCGTCCTGTGACCGCCTCTTCGTGTCGTCACCCGCTCTCGCTGCACTGTGGCATGTCTTGATGAGCCTGGATCCCGTGTGCCTCACAGACGTTCCTCCGCGGCCGCTCTCAGCGCGTGCTCTGTGTATCCGCGTCCAGCACACGTTCGCGTCCTTCCCGTCGTCAGATCTCTGAGCTGGGGTGAACCTCGGCTCCAGAGAGCTGTTGTCGGCGGGACCTCCTTGCCTCTGTGCCTGTGAACTGGTCCTGGCCGCGCTCACCGTGGCTCCTCGGTAAAGCTGTAAGCGCCGCTGGCGGGGAGACCCACGGCCGGCGAGGAGAGGCCCGGAGTCCTCCCGGCCAGTGAGCAGAGGCTGCGGGGACTGAGGCTTGAGCCTCCCTCCGCCAGGTTCCTGCCTGTGGGTGGTTGGGGCTGGCGCTTAGAAATGCGGCTCCGTTGGGGGAAGGAGGAGTTCAGTCCAGGGAGAGAGTCGGCGTCAGAACTTGAAGTCTGGGAGACACTAAGCTGTCGGGGGAGCTCGGCCGTGACGCGGGAGCGCCCTGCACGACACGGGGCTCCTGGCCACAGAGAGGAGTCCTGTCGGCGCACCCCTGCGGTCCGTGACCCCTAACGCCAGCTAGCGTCCGTCTCACTGCTGGTTCATCTGCCCCAGAGGAGCTGCGATCCTGATCCGTGTATGTGCCCAGCACACTCCTGCGACACGGCGGGCACCCAGAGATGTGCAGAGCAGTGAGAGTGAGTAAGTAAGCATCAGAAAGAAGTCCGGAGCACAAAATTCAAAACATACGTAGGGGCTCGGGCGGAAAGGTTAGGATTTCTGTTAGGTTTTCTGCTTCGCTGCGCAGCGTAGTGCGACAGAAGCGCGTGTGCGAGATGCCTAGTGGAACTGCTCGCTCGGTGTGAGCTCAGACATTGTGAGATCACGAGAAAACGCCCCCCGTTTCATCAGCACAGTTCTCCTTCCTTTAGAAACAGCGGTGGCGTCTTCGTTTCGGTCACGTGCAGTAAGTGTTGCCCGTCTGCGGTGTTGTCACCGAACCAGAGTCTCTCCCTGTCTCACTTTTTAAGTAGGTTCCACACACAGCGCGGAGCCCAACACCAGGCCTGAACTCACGACTCTGCGACCAAGACCTGAGCTGAGACCAAGGGCCAGACGCCTAACTGACTGAGCTCCCCCCGGCTCCCCAACTACATTCTTAATTTTGACTCCGATTCATCCATCTTGGTCTCACTCTGTGTGTGGGAGGACTTGTCCATACTCCACGGCGTCGCAAACACATCCTTCCACGTTTTCTTTTGTTACCTCTTCCGCAGTATCTTCTAGGTTTTTAATATGCTAGAATTCACCTTTGTGTGTGTTTATCCAACTCTCTTCTGCTCTGTAGAAAAAGAAGTGTGTGTGATTTGGCAGTTGTGGGGCATCCGCCGGGTGCTTGTGTGCACGCAGTTCTCTTGGGCTCTGGAGGCTCTCGTTGCTCTAGGGAGCTGCTCTCACGCTGCTGCCCAGCCCAGCGTTCGTGCGCTGCTGTGATCCTGGTCTCCTCCCGTTGAAACACTGTCCTCCGTGTCTCTAAGTTCACTTTCTAATTACTGACTCTCACTAATAGCAAGGCTGTGGCTTTTGGGTGGGAAGGGTTTTATTTTCCCACCTTCTGTCCTCTGATGCCTTCCTTCATCGTGGAGCTGTCTTTCTAGCTTGGCATCGGCAAGGAGGTCCTGAAGGGTCCCGGCCTCTGCTGTTCCGTGGTGAGGGCTGGGTGTGACGTCCCTGCCAAGCTGCGCGGAGCACGGTGGGAACCTTCCGTTCTGCCGCAGCTGCTCCTTCCCTGCTCCAGGTGCCGACGGGAACAAGGTCCCGGGCTCCTACGTCATGCTGCCTCCGGACAGCTTCTCAGCTGTGCTCAGCGGTTTCGGGTGTACTTTTTCTGGATGGTTTGATTTCTCTGTTAGTGTTTTGTTTCACTTTGTTTTGTTTTTGCTTATCAGTTTTTGTAGAACGGCCTTGACTTTCCCAGCAGCCTTGACTACAGACTTGTACCCACACGGCTCCGTTTTTTCTCTTTCCGAGCGCCAGCGCCCCCGTGCCGGCAGGAGCGGGAACCCTGAGAAGGCCACTGAATGACCCAGCGGGTTCAGAGTCAGAGCAGGTGGTTGGAAGGAGAAGCCCTGGAGGCCGTAGGGAAGAAGGAAGGACTATTTAGGGAGCACCCCTTAGGGGCCAGTCCTTCAGAGCCGTTCTCCAGAGAGGCGGGTTCTCTCCCGACTTTGTGGATAAAGGAGCAGAGACTCACGGGTCTAGGGAGCTTCCCCGAGCTCCAGAAGCCAGGAGGAGCTGGAATGCAGGCGCGCCCCATGTTCTCTTCCCGGAGGCCTCCCGCCTGCCGTGCGGGTCCACCTGCTCCCGGCGGTCATTCTCTTCCTTTCCAGGTTGCCCAGCGCCATCTCTTTCTCTCCTCGAAAACCAGTGCTTGGAGCCTGGCCCGAGAGCAGGGTTTCCCGGTCTTCCTTTGGATGTGTCATCAGCGGAGCGCTTGTGGCGCCTCAGGGGCTCGTCTCCGGCCCCGGTAGCGGAGACCTGGGCTCCTGGGCCAGTGGCCGCCCTGTTGCTTTGGTCCTCCCTGGGGCTGGGGCGGGACCCCTGTTACGCAGTATTCCAGCACCGACTGTAGGACTGGGAGACCGAGCCCACTGACCGCCGTTGGGTCTCTCTGGATTAACATGTACCTTCAAGCTATTTAACTGTGAAGCCAAACCCTTTCTGCCCATTCTTGCTTTTGATTTTGATGTTTTTATATTTCCTTCATCTTTGTCTTATTCCACACTTTTTCCCCAGGTCCTTGATTTCATTTAGCTACTTCTTTCTTAATGAGTTTTAAAATCAAAGATTTGCCATTTATCTACGTTGGACTTAGAGCTCACTTGTTTGTTGTTGTTCTTTTTTAAGTCCTACAGGTTAGCCCGATAAGAAAACTAGTGGCTGATTCATCAATACCACTTCCTAATTTTACACTCCAAAAGTAACGAGAAGAGGGCGCCTGGGTGGCTCCGTCGGCGAAGCGGCTGACTCTTGATTAAGGCCCGGGTCACAGTTTTAGGGTCATGAGGTCAAGCTCTGTGCTAGGCTCCACGCTCAGCGCCGAGTCGGCTGGGGATTCTCTGTCTCCCGCTGCCTCTCTCCCGTTCCCGCGTGTGTACTCACACTCTCTCTAGAAATAAATAAATCTGAAATGACTCATCGGTTAGGTTGAGCGGAGAGCCAGGAGACCGGTGCGCGGCCAGGGTTAGTGACATCAGTTGTGTCGTGTGGCCCCAGGGTGATGTGACAGCACGTGCCCTGGAATGTGAGTATCTGCTCAAATCTGCCTCTGTCCTCTCTCTCCCCAGCCCCCCCAGCCACAACATTGTGGTGAATGGAAAGAAATGTGTCAACTTTGCCTCCTTTAATTTCCTGGGATTGCTGGATAACGCTCGGGTCAAGGTAAGTAGGTCCTGTGCGGACCCGCCGGTGACCTACAGAGCCGTGCAGGAGAGAAGAGTCCGAGTAGAGAGTGGGAAGGGGCTCCCTCTGCTGGCCACTGGCCGTCGCTCGCTCCTGGCAGAGCTGCGACCCAGGTTGACAGGGCCAGTCAGGGTGTGTGGTATGGCTTGGCGGCCCCTGTGAGCCAGCCCCCGGGTCACAGTCGGAGGTGTGCCTCGGAAATGGCTCTGTGTCCCGGAGGACGGTGAGCCGTTCGGAGGAAAGGCTTCTGCCCAGAAATGCCAAAAAGCGTAAAGGCCTCGAGTCAGCCGTGTCTGGGTGATCAGACTAACGCCGCTTTTCCACGTCTTAAGGTCTGTCCCTCCATCTTTGCACGTGCCTAATCCTCCTGTCCCGTCAGATCGCCACGCCTCTGAGGGAGCAGGGAGCATGGCTGGTGGCGGGGGTTGCTGGGAGGGGCTCATGAGTAGGGAGCGTCGGCTGTGAGCCCTGGAGACAAAGCATTAAGACCGGACTTTTCTCCCACGCAGGCGGCGGCTTTGGCGTCTCTGAAGAAGTACGGCGTGGGCACTTGCGGACCTAGAGGATTCTACGGCACGTTCGGTACGTACCGCTGTCTCCTTCACACCATCACCCGCGTCTCACGACGGACTCAGCTCAGTTTCAGAACTCCTCGGAAACGAGATCCGTGGCGAGCTGGCGTGGGGTGCGTGCGTCAGCCTGGGAGGGGCCCTGGTCCTCGTGGAGGAAACAACCTGCTGCCCAGGGCCAGCTTGTCAGCCCGGCGGAGCCCAAGCTGCTCTCGTAGGCGCCCCGAGGACCGTGGCACGAGGAGACCCGGTTTGTTTCTGTCGCGCTTGCCTGTTGAAGGGGACGGGGCCTGCCGCAGATGGCCCTGCTCTTCACAGTCGTGCGGGAACCAACTTCTTCCCCGTGTCCTTCCTCCAGTGCCGAGCCCACCGTCCTTGTGTTTGTCCGCGAGGGTGCAGTGGGGGGCCGGCGTGGAGGAGCGGGCCCCGCGGCTGCTGTAGCCCTCGAGGCAGGCATGGGTGTTGCACCTGGCTCTGCCCCCCCTTCCGCTGGGAGCCCAGACCCTGGCTCCAGCCTTGCTGTGAGTGGGCCGGGGGATGGCTCCAACTAGGCAGCCGCCTCCTGCGGGAAGGGAGACAGGACGGATGGGGTGGGAGGCGGCGAAGGGTCGGTGATGGGGCTCTTTCTGGAAGGAAGAGGGCCACTGGTGACCAGCTGGGTCTGAGGATGAGTGTGGTTCCAAACACGACGAAGTCCCCAACTCCGAGTCCTCAGGGAAAATGTTGTTAAATGATGGTTCACTTGAAGATAGTCCTGGACGTAACGTTCTGGCTTCCACATGGCAGCTTGTGGGGAAAATAGAGCCTGGGAGATCTCCTCTGTCTTCTGTCCGAGTTTCCATGTCTCAGCCTGTGCGTGTGTGTGTCTGTCTGAAACAGTGAAGGTGTTTTTATAAGGGAGAACCTTTCTGTGCTCTGTAGTTAGCTTAGTGTTATTAAATCGTTGGTATTGGAAACAGACAACAGAGTAGCTGTCCCAATATTTTAAGCTGGAACGGGTCTGAAATGTCTTGTATTCCAGCATCCCAGTCCTTCAGAAGCGGCGTGGAAGGTTCAGAGAGGTTACGTGACTTCCTCACAGTCACACAGCTCATGAATTCCAGCCTTGTAACGAGGAGCCAAGTACTCTGGTGCCAGCCCTGATGGCAGGACCAAAGACTTGCAGAGCTGTCAGTCCCCCTCTTCAGTCTAGTGCAGACACGGTTGTCTGCGTGGTTGTTACTGGTGAGGAATTATCTCCTAGATAAGTAGTATTCGAGAGCTAGGCAAGAAGACATTTTTTATGGGTTGTTTGTTGTAATCTCATCAACAAGAACTTCTGTGATTTGCTTGCTGAGGCTAAAAAAATCACTTTCTTAAAAGCATTTCTTTCTAGGGGATTTTATTTGCATGTGTGGCCTTGGCTTCTACTTGGGAGTTAATTTGATAAAATAGCAGATTTATTGCTGAATCAAGTAATGGAAAAGAAAAGTTTCAACTCTTCGAAACCAGTTTTCCCAAAGCCGGTAAAATAGCCCAGTCACCTCGGTGTGCGGCTGCCCCGGGCTGGAGTGTGCTTCCACACGCGGGATCCTTAGTTCACGGTTTCTTTCTTTCTTTTTAATATTTTTATTTATTCCTTTCACAGAGAGAGACAGTGAGAGAGGGAGCACAAGCAGGGGGAGTGGGAGAGGGAGAAGCAGGCTTCCCGCTGAGCAGGGAGACCGAGGAGGGGCTCAGTCCCAGGACCCTGGGATCTTGACCTGAGCCGAAAGCAGACGCTTAACGACTGAGCCACACAGATGCCCAAGTTCATGGTTTCTAAGATAGTATTTTTTTTTTTTAAGATTTTATTTATTTATTTGACAGACAGAGATCACAAGTAGGCAGAGAGGCAGGCAGAGAGAGAGAGGAGGAAGGAGGCTCCCCGCTGAGCAGAGAGCCCGATGTGGGGCTCCATCCCAGGACCCTGGGATCAGGACCTGAGTTGAAGGCAGAGGCTTTAACCCACTGAGCCACCCAGGCGCCCCCTAAGGTAGTATTTTTGATTGAATAATTCAGCCCATGATGTGAGCTTGGGAAGGTTCACAGAGAGTGGAAGTTGTCTCCTCCCCCACCATTATCGCAGCGCACCCCCCCCAACCCCACAAAAGGCAGCTACTAAGGAGCTACTCCTGTGAGTAGTTCCTTCCTGATTCCTCCAGGGACGTTTTTCAGCGAAAGCAAACGACTTCTGTACATACGTTTTCCTGCTGTTTTTACAAAAATGGCAGCATAGCCTGCATGTGTTCTGTACCTTGCTGTTGCAGTGAGTTTGAAATTTAAATTGGGTTTGGATTTTTAGGGGCCCTGAGCAGATCCCTGCTAGTGCAGAGCCTGACGCTCAGCTGAGCCGAAATCAGAAGTTGGGTACTCGACCAACTGAGCCACCCAGGGGCCCCCACGAAAGGTTATTTTTTTACTGTCATGTTTTTTGTCCCCTGGGAGTAATACATTCAGGCATCTACTTTCAAAGATGAAGAGACTTTCTTGTTTAGCTCTTTTCTCAGCTTTTCAAAAATGAATGTAAATCACTAGTAAAAATAAATTTCTTCAGTAAAATGTTCTCCTTTTTATTATTTCATAGTAACGTATTAGATGACGTTAGATGATTAACACAGAAAAAAGGGTCAAATGACGGTTGAGTTAAAATTCATCTAGTTTCTTAGGCTGAACGTTCTGCCTTTGGGGAGTAGAACTCCTCAAGGTCTCCGGTCATCTCGTCAGGACCATGTGATTAGGAGTTTTCCAGCTTCTTATGTTATTGTCAGAGCGTGTGTTTGGGAACGGCACCAGGATTTGTCAGGTCGCAAAGGGGACTTTCCTCTAGGGCTGGGGCCGCGCGCTTGGACACTTGGTCTTGTCCAGCTTCTCGGTTGTCCTTGAGTGCCTTCAGATCTCTTGCTGGAGGTTGTCACTGGTTTCCCGGCATCTGCTTTGCATACACGGTGCCTGCTTGACTCTTTGTTCTTAAACTAAGATACAGTCAGTGGCAGGATTTCGTGGTGAAGGATGGTGGCATTGAATTGTGTTCAGGAGCCATTAGTGAACAAGTAAATCGTTCAGTTTATTTTTCAGAGTATATTCTTTCTTTAATTCAGAGCAGTCAACTGAGTCATGCCTGCATGTTTTATTAGGAGGAACATTTGGTCATAACATTCCTAGACCTGCCACTTCTTCCTACTAACCGTCACGGGGTTGCTTTTGCAGGGTAGGAGGGGACGCTCCTTGTTTGCACAGCTCAGAACGTTTTGGCAAGAATCACGTAGATGATGCTGCACGTAGAAACGTTCTGGAAAGCACTCAGCCCTATACTTATGCTCTAATGAGTGCGTAAGTGTATTATTCGTACTTTTAAGAAAAGTTGTCCTTGTCGCCAGGGCTTAAAAAGAGTCTGTAACACAAAATACAGAGCCTTAAGAAAAAGTGTAGTTGGTGGTTTCTAAACTGTTCTGACGTTGGCTATTTTGTAGTCTTTCCTTTGGAAGACAACCAAGAAAGCCAAAATACCTCTTAGCAGAATAAAAGAGGAGCTACATAAAAGGGAGGGCGAATGGAAAAATTACTATGATATGAGGTTCTTAAATATGTGGGGTTTGGACAACTTAATTAGAAAATGGTGTAACTGCTTTTTTCCTTTTAAAAGAAAGCCTTTTATCCTACAAGTATTGATTTACCTGTACAAACACTTCAATGGTGTATTGGTTTTTCCATGCCGGGCGTTACTGTGAGTGTTTCGCAGGCATTGACTCGTGGTTCTGGTGACAGTCCTTTGAGGCGGGTCTGACTGTTCCCTGTTTGACAGAGGAAAGACCTGAGAGGCACGCAGCAGTGTCAGGCCTGCCCTGGTCCACACCTGGTGAGGCGGGGGGCCAGATCTGGAACCCCCTGTGATGACTGCCATGGCCAGGCCCTGCCGTGGGTGCCAGACATCCTGTACTGGCCCCGAATCCCTTCTGTTAGGTTCTGGTTAGGGAGCAGGTGCAAGAAAGCGCCGCGAGTGCTGGGAGGGACACAGAGCTTTCTGGCACCTCCCTCCGTGGCCTCTGCCCTGCAGCGTGTGTTCCTGGTGGTGACTCCGAGGGTGCGGTGCTCTGCCCGCACTCCGTGCAGATCCGTGGAGCAGCCGGTGGAACGATTCATCCACACGGAGGACCGACATCAGGAGCAGGAGAGCGCGGCCTGGCGCTTTCCCTGCTGGCTGCCTCCCCTCCCTTGGCTGAGAGTTTAGTCATTGCTCAGAGTAGCTGTCACAGGTCAGAAGTCAGGCAGCGCAGCGCACCCGCCTGTCCCAGAACCTGCTCTGCGAGGCTGCCGTCGGCTAAAGCCCAGTGTCTCCAGGTACGAGGAGGAAGAGGCCAGTCTTTGTTAGACTTTTGGGAAAGGCAAGAATCGGTAAGTCGTTGACTTACTGTAGAGTCTTCTTAACCACTTTTAGCAGTGATGGAAGAGCAGTTACGAGTGTGTACGACGGTGGGAACGTTTCCAACATGCAGTTTTCATCCACTGCGTAGCTAATGCTAAAGCCCTGAAATTAAGCCAAGTTGTTGGACTTTCTCATCGCTCGTCAGTGAAAAAAGGAGTCGTGTAAAGCAGAGTCTACAGAATGATTTAAAGTCTTCTTTGTTTTTAGCAAAAATAGTTCTTGTCCGTAGCAGGTGTTTTGTTTTTGAAATGGAGATACTGGATGAGAGCAGTTCTGGGGCTCGTCTGCTCACTGAATCACGGAGATTCGGGGTAGACAGTCCTGATTCAGAGGCCCCATTGTCACGTGCAGAGGGGGACTTGCCTCATTCTGGTCCGAAGTGGGGGTGGCGGGGGCTCGCCTGCAGGCATGGTGCAGAGAGCGCGCGGAGGAGGAGGAGGAGCTCCTCACTCGCGGGGGGAGGCCCGGTTCTCTAGCGTGTGGCTGCTTTCCTCGTTCTCGTCCGATTTTCCCCGAAACCTTTCACTGGCAGCGCGTGGCAGAGGACGGGCCGTCAGGGTCAGGGTCACGTCCTCTGTGTTGGTGATGTCACGGGTCTGATGCTCAAGACCTGAGCACCTGTGTGACGCCATTTGGATCACATGGGACAGTCATCAACTTCGTTACCGTAAAGTCCCACACTTAGCTGACGTCGATGTCATCCGTGCAGTGACCGAGACCTCTCGGGAATGGACGTCAAAGGACTCTTCATGTGCTTTTCGTAATAGGCTGTGTTGGTGTCCATTTTAGCTGCCAACGGGAAGAGGCATGTTTGGTCTTTCGCGTGGGCATGTCTTGGAGGAACTGTGAAATGAGCTGTTTATCCCATTCCAGTCGGGTCTGATAAAAGAACGGACTTTTAAAACTACGTTTTACAGAGTGTTTAGGCGAGGGAGTCCAGTAGTGTTCTCTGTTCGTTTGTTAGTCAGACGTGCAGTGGCTGCCAGGTAAGGCCGGGGAGTCTGGTAAGCGCAGGGCCAGGGAGGGGCTGGGCTCGTGCCGCCGGACAGAGGGGCACGGCTGAGCGGCAGGGAGCAGCTGGCGCAGGAAAACTCCAGAACTCCAAGCCCGTAGGAAGAGGCGAGGGGCCGGGTCACGCCTGCGGCCTGCCTGCCTGAAGCAGCGCGGTCCCTCGACTCTGAGACCCGCGCCCCGTGGTTCCTGACCGGAGATGAGCGCGCTTGCTCGTGAACGGAGGGCGCGGCTGGGAACTCGCCGCAGCGTGGCCGACGGCAGCAGGCGGGCCCTGAGCCAAACCCGCTCGATGGCAAGACACCTGCAGTGCGGGCGTGAAACTGAGCAGCCAAGCCCGGCAAGGACGCTAGAGCTCGCCTCGGGCGTCCGCTTCCTGACCCTACACGGGGAGTGCGGCACGACTCTGCCGGCTGTCCGGGTGTGGGTCCTGCTCGCCGAAAAGAGCTAGAGGAAGTTTAACAGTCCTCTCTCTGGGTGATGCCTCGTTTTAGGACCACTTCGACGTTTTCAGGTTCAGAGCCGGTCCGTGCGCTGTTTATTATAGCCACCGCCGGGGCGTGTGGCCCGCCTGCTGGGGCGTGTGGCCGGCGCCGGAGCCTGGGAAGGTGAGTGGCCGTGAGCCGCCGCGATGGGCGGTCCCCGGTTAGCGGGCACCGTCCGTTCCCGCTGTTCCACCCGCGTTCTTCTCAAGCAGCTCTTGTAAATGACAGCATTTCCCTTTGCGCCGCGCATCTCAAGTCCCCGTGCGCTCACGCGGAGAGTCGGACGGAGAGCGAGCGCCGCGGAGCCGGAGCAGGTGCGCGCCGCGTGCTGGCGCCGCTCTCCGAGGAGGGAGCACCTTTGTCTGCAGGGCGCGCGGGCTCTTCTGCTCGTCTTGTCTTTCCCTTTTAAAGTCGGTTTCCAGTTGTCTCAATGTCTGCTGTGGTACGTTCTGCTAATGGGAAAAGGCTTTAATACCGTGTCACACGTTAGTAAAGCCACCATGTGGTTGGTTGAGGAGTTAAAGCAGGTGAAGTCGCTGGGCCTTGTGTGGCGGAGCTAGCGTGACGGAGAAGCAAGAGCCAGGGTCGCGCGGCCCCGCTGACACCTCGTAGGGGCGGCCGAGTAGCTCATGCCGTTCTCAGGCTTGGGGAATCGTTTGGCCGAGAGTCATCTCAGCAGATCCCATATAATGTACAACTCAAAGACGGTTTCATGTGGCCATAAAGTGACACTATCACTAACTAAACTGCTTGGTTATTTTCTTTATTCTGTACTTAAAGAAAAAGAATGAGATGTTTCACCCACTGAACGTCTTATTGTAGATGTGCACTTGGATTTGGAGGACCGCCTGGCAAAGTTCATGAAGACGGAAGAAGCCATCATCTACTCCTGCGGGTTTGCCACCATCGCCAGTGCGATCCCCGCTTACTCCAAGAGAGGCGACATCGTGTTTGTGTGAGTAGCTTCACCTGTGCAGCCCATCAGAGCTCCTCTGGAGCGGACGGTGATCCTCCCGGGGAATGCCTTTGTTAGAGGCTCTCTGCCCTAGGTAATACCGACTTTCTGCTTAAAGAGGAATCTCCACGACGGCATTGGTGCGGCACTGAGGAGACCGTCACTAGAAGGATGGCGAGAGCATTTTTCTCTTAATTGATTGGTTTTATTTATTAATGTTGGGGAGCCAAACTTACTCCCTCTGTAGCTCTGTGGCAGCGTAGTGTCCTTGAGGGTCCGCGGTCGCTGTCCACGCAGTCACTCAGCGGAGCCCTCCGTTGCCCACCGCCCCGCCCCGAGTCCCACTCTCTGCTGACCTTGCTCCGCAGCTTGCCAGGGTCAGAGAAGCCACGAGCAAGTCCGCGCTCGAGCACACGCGCCCTGGCTGTGGGGCGTCTCCGCTTGTGTGGAGAGGGAGAACGGACAGCAGTGGGCTGGGCTGGCCCGGCTTGGCAGCCATCTGCCCCCACCGCGGGCACCACCCTCTAGCCCAAGCCTCCGCTGTCCTTTCAGTGGATCATTAAGGGACTTTGAATTTTAGGTCTCAGGTTTACTTTTGTTTCCTCCTTTCCTTCTTAACAGCACAGCCAGAATAATCTTTGTTAAAATGCTCATCGGATGACATCAGGCTTAAGAGCTCCCCTCGTTCCTGAAACGAAGATCCAAGTCCTTACTATGGTCTTCTGCATTCCAGACCACCTTTCCAGACTCATTTTGTCCTTTTCCTTCAGGTGCTCATGCTGTAGCCTCATTGGCCCCATACGCTACTTTCCTCTCGCTTTGGGGCCTTTGAACACACCAGTTCCTGTGCCTAGAATCGTCTCCCCGCCCACCCCGCATGGTGGTGCCTCTGCAGGGCCGCCCTCCCTCACCTCGCGGACCAAGCTGAGACCCTGCCACATGCTGGGAGAGTCTCAGCCAGAGGGCTTTGGCGTCCTTGGGAACCCCTGGTCACACGGGTGCTCACACTGCCTGTCGCAGTGCAGCTGTGCCATTTTGCATTCCCATAAATAGTATGACGTGATACAGTTTCTCGACATCCTCAGAAGCATTTGGTAGTGTCTTTTTTTTTTTAATTTTAGCCATTCTGATCAGCGTATAGAGAGATTTTATTGTGATTTTAGTTTATATTTCCCATGGCTAATGATGTTTGCATTTTTTGGACTTTGGTCTTGTCATCAGGAGACGAGTCCATAAAATCCCCTGGGATTCCTGCTGGTGTTTTCTGGAGAAATCATATAAAATTAATGTCAACTCCTTAAATGTTTGGTACATTTCTCCAGTAAAGCCAACCAGGCCTGGAAATTTATGTTTTGGAAGAATTTTAATTCTGAATTCGATTTTCTTAATACTTAAAAGGCTGGTCAGATTGTCAGACACGTCATATTGATGAGTTAAGTGGTTTGTGTTTTTCAGGAATTCGCTCTTCTCAGTTGTCAGACTTACGTTGTGTTCTTTGTAATATTTCCTTTTTCTTCTGAGTGTGATGACGCGTTTCATTCCCATCCGGTGCTCTGGCTCCTCTCTTTCCCGTCACTTCTGCTCCAGTTTTCAGTTTTATTTACCTTCGCAAGGAACCAGCTGTTTGCTTCAGTGGTTGTTCTCCGTTGTGTTTCTGTTTCAATTCTGTCACTTTCTGCTGGTGTTTCCTGCCTTCTGCTCTTCTTTGGCTTCTTTCTGCCCTTTTTCTAGATTCTTTAGTTGGGAATTTTGATTGTTGATTTGAGACTTTTCCTTTTTTCTAATGTGTTAGTGCTGTGCGCTACTTATGTGCTCCTCTAGCCTTGTCCCACACACCTTGGTCTGTTTATTTTCACTGAGTATGGTATATTTTATTTTCCTTTAGACTCTCCTTGACCCACAAATTACTTAGAAGTGTGTTTCATTTCTGAGTGTTGGAGATTTTAAACTTGTTGCAGTTTGCGTCACGGCTCCCGATGTGGTATGTGTGAGAATGTGTTCCCTGGTCACTGAAGACGAGTGTTTGGCCACTGCTCGGTGATGTGTTGCATCAGCGACACTTAGATCGTCTCAGTTCACGGTGGTGTTGAGGTCTGGTCTGGCCTCGCCGGTTCTCCATCTGGTAGTTCTGCAGTTACGGTGGTTGTGATGCGTCTGTGTTCCTTCTCTTACCTCAGTTTTTGCTTCTCAGCCTTTTGTAGCTCTGTCGTTTGGTCCATATTTTCTTGGTTAATTGATCCTGGTTATCACTGTTTAATGTTCTTCTGTCTCTGGTAATTTTCTCTGTCCCAGAGTCTCCTTCATCAGGTAACCACATAGGTTTTCTGCTTCCTCCTGATGAACGTCTGCATGTTGTATTTTCCGTGCGTATCACACATACAGCCACTACCATGTTATTATGTACCTTGTGGTATATTTTCTCACGGGCAGGATATCGTTGGGACATGTTTGATCCATTCTGCCAGTCTTTGTCTTTAAATTGTGTATTTTGGCCATTTACATTTAAAGTAATTACTGGACATGTGAGGGCACTTTATTTTTTGTTTTGTATCTGTTATCTCTTTTTTATTTTTCTGTTTTCTATTTCCTGCCTTTCTGGGGGTTCAGTGAACTTGTTTTGGGATTCTAGTTTGACTTATCCACGGTGTTTTTGAGTGTTTCTCATTGCACAGTCCTGTTTGTTTTTAGTCCTTGCTTTCAGTATGACATTATGTATGCATGTAACACCACCATCTGCTGATCTCGTCATTTTACCATTTCAGGTAGAGAAACCTTTACCTTCCTTACACTTTTGTACTCTCCTTGTTTATAATTGTTTTCAGTACTTCCTGCACATACGTTGAAAACCACATCAGACAGTATTCTAATTTTTATTTAAATCATCCATAATAATTTAGAAAACTTGGGAAGGTAAAAAAAGCCTAGTGTGTTTGTTCATAATTTTACTTACTCTGTTCTTTCTTCCGCTCTGATAATCTAAGATTCTTTCGTTTTTTTTACTTATTTTTTTCTTTGTGGAGAGCTTCCTTTAGCCATTCCTTTTCCCCTGGTCTGCTGGGGTCATCTTCTCTTGGTTTGCCTTCGTCTGCCTTCGTTTCCCCTGTTCCCTAACGGATCTTTCTGCTTGTCGCGGCATTCTTGTTTGCGAGTTCTCTTCCTCCAAGCATTTGGAATATAAATGTAAATATAAAAACCCCACTTTTTCCTGACCTCCCTGGTTTCTGATTGGTCTCTCAAATTATTTTTCTCTTCTCTGTAAGGTGTCATTTTAGGGCTGCTTTCAAGATTTCTTCATCATCATTTGTTCTCAGAAGCTTTACTATAATTTTGGCGTTTGTTTGGGTTTATATGAATTTCGCCCAGCTTCTTACCAAATTGGAGACACCTTCCGTCCTTATTTCTTTGAGTACTTTTCAGCCCCGCTATCTCTCCGTCCTCCAGCCCTCCGCTGCGGCCAGTGTGGCAGCTTTCATTGTAGTTCCGCAGGTCTCTGAGGCTCTGTTCTTCCATTGTCACGTGTTTTTCTCTGGTTTCTGTTGCGTAGCTTCTGTTCTGTCTGCCGCTTCTCCCATTCTTCTCTCCGTCCCACCCGGCCTGCTGCTGAACCTGTCCCTGTACTTTTCCTTTTTCTCTTGCTTTTTTTTTTTCTTCTGGCCATGGTGTTTTTCAGTTCTAGCTTCCCCATGGGATTCTTTGTCTCCTGTTTCTATCCTGGGGCTTTCTGCTTTTCCCTTGTTCCAAGCACGTTCATAAGTGCCCACGGAAGTATTTTTATCATGACTGCTCTAAAACGACTCTCAGATAATCCGGACATCTGTCAACTCAACATTGGTATTTGTTGATTATTTTCTTTCATTCTGTTTGATATCTTTTGATTCGTGGTATGACAAGTGATACTCGAAATCGGGACATTTTCCTATTCTGCTATCAGAGTTTATGCTTTATTTAAACCTTGGGGTTTAGTGGGCTTTCTCTGTCACTCTTCCATTAGGGGCGGGGGGCATTCACTACTGCCTCGTGACTGCCAGGTGGAGGTACAAGGCCAGGGTCCCCCTTCCGCCTCCACTGACACCGGGTGGGGGTGTTTTCATCTCCGTCAGTGTTAGTGAGAGTCCCGCTCTCCCCTGAGCCTGCTCTGGCACAGCCCAAGCCAGGAAGGGGAGGCTTTCCCTCCCTGCGGGGGAGCAGTGGTGGGGGCTCTCCACGCGGTCTTCACGGACTCCGCCGGGAGGGCTTTGTTACCGGCTCGTGGGGTCCAGTTCTGCCTCCCTTCTCTGAGGCCACCGGGGCGGCTGTCGGCGCGCCTCCCAGCTCTGCAGCGGTCCGAATCTGGGCCCCTCGGCCCTCGCGGGTGTGGGGGGATGAGCCCAGGTTTTCTGTGGTTTGGCTTCAGTCGAGTCATTTCTGCTTGCCAAGCCTCCCCTTTCCTGTCCCTTGGGCCGCAGAGGGCAGGTTCTGTGAGCTTGTGTGCCCACGCCCCTGGGCACTTGGAGCGGGTCAGCTTCGTCAGCTCCAAGTCAGGGAAGCCCACGAGACGGCGTGTCAGAGGTCGCCAGCCGGCTGTCATTTTCCTGCACTTCTCAGAGTCGTCTTGTGTCTGCTCTATATGCAGTGTCCGGGGTTTGGGCTTGTACTTAGAAAAGCAGGGGAAATGGGACCGTTCCATCTTCGCGGCAGAAGCCTCGCACATACTTTAAAGTAATGCCGCTCAGTGTCCGGGACATCCTCCCTCCCTACCTCGGTTTAGAAGTTCTCACTGGAGTTTCAGCCGCCACAGCCAGAGTCCCCGGTCGGTATCACTTCTCACGGCAGAATAAGGGCAGAGTCTGCGCCCGTCCGATCCGAGGCGCCACCGAGGGTGAGGTCACCGGCGTTGTGTGGGTCTCGGAAGGAAGAAATTGCTGTGCGGGGACAGACGCGCACGCTGCCTTCTGAGGGGCGAGACGAGGCAGGGTGAGCTCCGTGCGCGCGGGCGTGTGCGCCGTCACGTGTGCCTGCTGACCTGCGCGTTGGGAGCGCGGTGAGCAGCCCGGCACGCGAGCGCTCCTTTCCCGAGCGTGGACAAGACCTTCCACAAGCCCACTCGGGTGGTCTCCCTTCCTTGCAGAGACAGAGCCGCCTGCTTTGCCATTCAGAAAGGGTTGCAGGCCTCCCGGAGCGCCATCAAGGTGTTTCAGCACAACGACATGGCCGACCTGGAGCGCCTGCTGCAGGAACAGGAGGCGGAAGACCAAAAGGTACGATTCTTTTGAAGAAAGCTGCGCAGTTCTGTGCTTGCCGACCCGCCGAACTGCGTCTGAAGTGGCGACTGGTCATGGAAACCCGCCTGCGGACCACTTGTGGGTGTGAAGCGACGGCGTTGCTGCTTATTAAACGCAGTCGGTGCTGGGGAGGCGGGTCCGCCTGTCGTCGCCTCCTCGTCGCCGTAGTTACTTACGGCAGCTTTGGGGGAAGGTAGCGCGGGCCGCTTCCGGGAAGAGGAGGGCAGCGTGCGCGTCGGGGAGCGGGTGAACCCCCAGTCTGCGGAGGTGACGCCGGATCGCGCCAGCGCGTGTACCTGTGTCGGGGCGTGTCTGCCGAAGAGAGTCGGCCGTGGTCACAGTGTAACGTAAGAAAGGGAGAGAAGGGAAACCGCCCGCACCCAGCGCTGGTGCCGTAGTCACTCTGTGGTGTGTCCGCAGCAGAGTCGTGTATCTCCACCGAAATCATGGTTTCAGTAATTATTAATTTTTTTAACTCCGGTTCTAACACTATGGCAGTAAAATCCTGATTTGAACAGAGTTTATAAGAAAGATAGCCGCTACCAATGGGTCTTGTAACTACCTAATCTGTTAAAAATTTTGTGCACTTTCCCATTTCCCAAGATTCCTCCATTGAGTGTTTTTTAAGTCGTAATAAAAATACTTCATTTTGGAAAGGTAGGGGGAGGCTCGCCTCTCTTCATGTCCTCCCCCGTGACCCCCAGCAAACCCATGGCGTTCGGGTCTGAGTCAAGAGTGGCGTGAAGGTGCTTGAGCCCACTTGGGGGCGTGCATTCCGCGTGCTCTGAGCGTCACAGCCGTGGGTCCTGGCACGTCCCTCGTTAGAAGCGTAGAGGCAAGAAACCTTTGCGTAGGAAGATGGTGCCAGTTCTACCCAAGGATCTCAGTATTTTTCCAGCCTTGCACGCCTGAAGCATCTACAAATTCCCCAGGGTGGGCGGCTTATTACTAGTGACCTGCCGTGAGCGGGGTGCAGGAAGGTTATGTGTCTTCTGAAGTAGCCTCTGCCACTGCCTCACGCATGCCTGGATGAGGTCATGGTTGAGTTTTACTTGACCCGGTGGTTAGGAAGGATTTTATCTGCTGTTGGGTAGGTGAAGGAGAACAGGGTCTGTCTGTTCAGCTTTTTATCATGGAAGATCTCGGGCATATTCAAAGGAAACACAGTAGTGTAAGAAGCCTCGTGCCCTTCTTGTGTCATCAGAGCCTCTGTCACACTCCCACCCCATCTGTGATGATTGCCATCGTCACTGTAGCTCTGTTTTAGGCAAACTCGGTAGATGTTGGAGGGAACAAATCCTGGCCATACATTTTGACCAGTGGATAATCCAGGTATCATGGCCCCGTTGTGACCTAAAATGTGCCCATTTCCCCAGAAACTTCCCTTGGGCTATCTCAGTCATTCTGGGTGTAGGGGTTTGTTTGTGCTTCAGCATTCTCAGAGCCCCTAAATAATGTGTGTGTGCGTGCGCGTGTGTGTGTGTGCTGTCACCTCACAGACTGGGTGAACTGGGAAAAGAGAAAAGACAGCACCGTTGTCTCAAAATAACAGGGTATAAAACCTTGAACTTGAAACTCACCCAGATTGTTGGTTTACTTACTCAGATGAATAGATTTTGTCGGGTGGAGTGCGAGGGGGCATTGAACAGATTCTGCGTGTGCAGCTACTGAGATTTAAAATGTCTTCTTTTGGGGCGCCTGGGTGGCTCAGTGGGTTAAGCCGCTGCCTTCGGCTCAGGTCATGATCTCAGGGTCCTGGGATCGAGCCCCACATCGGGCTCTCTGCTCGGCAAGGAGCCTGCTTCCTCCTCTCTCTCTGCCTGCCTCTCTGCCTGCTTGTGATCTATGTCTGTCAAATAAATTAAAAAAAAAAATTTTTTTTTTTTTTTTAAATAAAAAAAAAAATGTCTTCTTTTTGTTTTTCCTTTTAAAGAATCCTCGCAAGGCTCGGGTCACCCGACGTTTCATCGTTGTGGAAGGGCTGTATATGAACACGGGGACTATCTGTCCTCTCCCGGAGCTGGTAAGCCAGCGCGCTCCCGAGCGTGGCAGTACTGGGCCGGGGCGGTTTGTTTCCGTGCACGTCTGTCGGACGCCTGCGCTGTTGCATGACGGGCGCTCACTACCGGGAAGCAGATGAGCCTTACGTGCCCACCCTGGTCTCTGAGCGATAATGAAGACTCAGCTTTGTAAAGCCTCCTGTATTGAGGTGTAATTGACTTGCAGGTGTACAGTTCTTTTGTTTAAAGGCTTTTATTTACTTTATTTGAGAACAAAAGAAAGCACAAGCCGTGGGGAGGGGCAGAGGGGGAGGGTGAAGCGGGGAGCCCAAGGTGGGGCTCAGTCCAAGGACCCTGAGATCATGACTTGAGCTAAAGGCAGATGCTTAACCAACCGAGCCACCCAGGCGCCCCAGAACAGCTCCTTCAACAGGAAGAGCAATCTGCTGGTTTTAGAAAGCACGACTGCGAGATTTCTCCTTCACTGAGGTGAGGCTCACACGAGTTAAAATTAGCCGTTTTAGAGAGTGCGGTTCGGCGTTTGGCACAGGCTCCGTGTTACGCGGCCGTCAGCCGTCTGGTTTTCTCCCAGTAGCCCCCGCCGCTAAGCAGCCCCTCCCCATCTCCCCCTGCCCGTAGCCCCCAGCAACCACCCGCCCGCTTTCTGTCTCTGGATTCACCCGTTCTGGAGATTTCCGATAAACGGGATCGTTCCGTCTGTGACCTTTTGTGTCTGGCTTCCTCCACTTCCCGTGTTTTCGCCGTTCCTCCGGTGTGCAGCGCGCACAGTCCTGCGTGCCTCGTAGCGCGAGTCGCAGTCCGTTGTGGGGACGCGCTGCGTGGCTCCTGCGCGGACAGGGCTGCATCGCCGCGCTCTAGCTGCTGCGGGACGGCCGCGAGCTCGCGTACACGCACTTGTTTGAGTCCCTGTTTTCAGCCTTCCGTGTGTGTTCTTGGCCGCACAGTTGCTGATCAGGTGGGGAGTCTGTGCTTCACTTCCTGAGCACCTGCCGGACGGTTTTCCGCAGCGGCTGCACCATTTTACACCCCTGCCCCACCCGCAGCGCGGGAGGGCGCCGGAACCCCACAGCCTCACCGACACTCGGTGGTTTCCGATTTTGCCGCGCCGGTAGGTGTGAAGCACGTGGCTGTGTTGCCCTTCCCGGAAGACCGACGATGTCGAGCCTCTTCTCTTGTGTGTGCGGCCCTTGGTGTGTCTTTGGGGAAGAGACTTCAGAAGTCTTTCGCCCATTTTCAAACTGGGCTGTTTGTCTTTTTATCGTGACGTCACAAGAGTCTTCCCATGCCCTGGACACCAGACCCTTACCAGGTGCGCGACTTGCAAGTGTTTCCCCGCAGTTCTGGAGGTCGTCTCGTCATATCCTTGGTTCCTGTCCATTGATGCGCTGAAGTCTGTGATTTGATGAAGGCCAGTTTGTCTAGTCTTGTGTTGCTGGTGCTTCTGGTGTCCTCACTGAGAAACCTGTTGTGAGATCCAGAGTCAGGAAGATACACCGCTGTTTTCTTCTGAAGTTTCGTAGTTCTGGCTTTGCTGTAGGGCCCTGATCCATCTTGGCGTTTCGTTTGTTTTTGTTTTTATAGATTTTATTTACTTGAGAGAACGAGAAAGAGAGCCCAGAGGGAGAGAGAGAGGCAGAAGCAGACTTCCCACAAGCAGGGAGCCCAGTGCGGGGCTTGATCCTGGGACCCTGGGATCATGACCTGAACCGAAGGCAGACGAGTAACCGACTGAGCCCCGCAGGCGCCCCATGTGATCCATTTGGACTTAATTTGTGTGTGTGTCCAGTTTCGTTCTTTTGCACGTGGTTTCCAGTTGTCCCTGGACCGTCTGCTGAAGGCACTGTTGTCTTGCATTGGGAGGTCCTGCTCTGTTGGCCGTGGAGAGACGGGCTTTCTAGCTTTCGGGACTCTCCTGCCTGTTCATCGTCTGTATGTCTAGCCTCATGCCAGTATCACAGTTTCTCAATTCCTTTGCTTTATAGTAAATTTTGAAATCAAGGCATGTGAGTTCTCCAACTTTGAGGTTGTTTTTGGTTATTTGCGGTCCCTGGAGATTCCTTTTGAAGTTTAGGATCAGCTTTTCCATTTCTGTTTAAAAAAAAAATGCCATTGAAATTTGGGTAGGGATCGTACTGAATCAGGGTTGTATTGAATCTGTAGATTGCTTTAGAGAGTATTTCCATCTTAATGATATTAAGTCCTTGAATCCATGAACACAGAAATATTTCCATTTACTTAGATCTTCTTTAGTTTCTTTCAGCAGTGTTTTGTTTTTTTTCACTATCAGGTCTGACATCTCTTTGGTTAAATTTATTCCTAAGTATTTTATTCTTTTTGATGCTGTTACAAATGCACTTGTTCTAGGGATTGTTAACTGCCAGTTTATAAAAATACAACTGATTTTACAGGGTTTTTTATTTTTTATTTCATTGTTATTTTTTTAAGACTTATTTTTAATGTATTCTCCATGCCCAGCATGGGGCTCGAACTCACAACGGTTGGGTCCTGCCAACTGAGCCAGCCAGGCACCCGATTTTGTGTTTTGACCTTGTATCATGGAATATTCTGGAGGTAAGCTCCTGTAATCTATGCGTAGAGATAGTGCTACCTCTTCCTTCCATTTTGGATGTCTTTTATTTTTCTTGCCTCGCTGTTCTGGCTAGCACCTCCCACCCGGTGTTGACTAGGAGACGTGAGACGGGGAAGCTTCTCAGGCTGTGACCACTGACTGTGCTATTAGCGGCGTGTTTTCCATAAATGCCCTTTATCAGGTTGAGGAAGTTCCCCCTCGTCCTGGTGTGTTGTGTTTATACCACAACGGGTTTGGATTCTGTCCGGTGCTTTTTCTGCATCCGTTGGTGTCAGTCATGTGGTTTCCCTCCATCCTGTGAACAGAGTCGAGGTTACCCTACAGTGAATCGCCTTTGCATGCAGCCCGTGAGCTGAAACCTGAGTCCGTCAGTTGAGTGGGGATTCAGAATAAGGGTTTCATGTCTTGTTTTTAAAGTTTTCCACTGTTTCTTGAGGAAATCTAAACACATTTTTAAATATCATGGAAGAGATGTATCCGTTTTCCTCTTACTTTCACGCCAAAGGCTGATAGAAGCATATCAGGGTGATGGTGGCCAAAAGATAGCAGCATCGCATGGTTAGCAGCAGTGGAGAGCAGTAGCGATAGACGGATGCGCGCAGGCCGTGAAACGAAATACACAGTGTAAGGGACAGGTCGGATACACATTAGCATTGAGTATGTAGAGATGACGGGATACAGATTAGGGTTTCTGTTTTGTTTCACTGGTCTGTGTGTTTGTGCACCAGAATTGTCCTAATACTATTAAAAATTTTCTAAAACCTGATTTTTAG